AATTATTTTATAAAATAAACAATTCAAGAAAATAATCCTGTTAAATCTTTCTCTTTTAGACTCTGTGTGTGCCCTGGGATTATGGAGATGCTCAGTGAGCACAAATTAGAGAAGGAGGGAGGGAAGAGATGGGAGGGGGGAGACCTTGGACACTGCGATTCCACCTGCCACCACCAGGGGGTGGTGCTCCTCACTTCTCTGGCCCTGCAGCTGTACTAACACTGACCTATCGAACACACTGCGGCCCACTCTTCTTTTGCTTTCTCCCCCTCTTTGCTATCTCTGATGCCCACAGGCTTTCACACAGTAAGTGACTTTGTGGGCATCTGCTTTTCGTCGTGTCAAGCACTCAGACGGACACTGGATGAACTGAGCACTTTAGAGTGTGGGCGCCTGCCGCCCCCTGCAGGATGAAGCTGGAACTGGGACTCTCCTCTCAGACCTGCCCACCAGCAGGAACCGGCTGTCTGTCCTGACCCAGACTGCAGTGACTAGGGTGCCTGTGAGAGAGAGTTGCCTTTCTATTGCACTTCCAGTCTTTGAAGCATGATCCCCAGTGGCCCAGGAACCAGGCTCTGTGTTATGAAGGGCCCTCACCCTACAGTCAGAGCTCTGCCATTATGCAGACAGAGAGGGGACAGGTGTCCCAGAACAAAGCCACACAGCTGGGACACTGGCCTTGTCAAGCTGAGGCACAAACACAGCCTTGATCATGAGAGGGGCATTTCTCCTCTAAAGACCTGTGTGCAATACTAATTTCTGACCACCAGTCAGTATACTGTAATTGAAGGCTACAATAATAGCATAGAAGAACAGTCCTGTTATAACAGGAGCTACAGTCCCAGTACAGCAGGACAGTCCTGTTACACTAGGAGCTACAGTCCCAGTACAGTAGACCAGTCCTGTTACAACAGGAGCTACAGTCCCAGAACAGTAGGACTGCCCCCGAGAGTCTTCACTGTTATGTAAGACTATCACATAACCCTTTATTTGGCCCCACAGATGGCCTGTGTTGTAGATGGGTGGGAAGAGGGTTGTTAGAAGCCATCAGGGAGTTTTGAACCTGTTGCCCAGTTGGCCTGCCTGGCCAGTTCGGTTTAGACTTTACTGCAGCTGGACAGTCCCTCGTGGTGCCGATGAGTCACTGTGGATCTGTCGGGTCGTCCTGTGGCTCCAGGTCTGGGTCTGGGTCTGGTAGCTGTAGCAGCATCTGTAGTGACATATTCCCCTCTCGCTAGAGATTCCCAATCTCTTCTGGCTTTCAGTCCAGTTTTTAGCAGCTTAATTGAGTCAATTATCTACTAAATGAAATTGCACTAATTATCACTTACAGTCCTTAACTACTAAACGTTGAAGACAAAGGGAACGCAGGAATGCAGAAAGACGTTTGTAAAAAAAATCTGTCCTTATTATGTAATTCTAGTGGGATTCCAAACTGTTAAAGGGATTATTTGGGAACCCAAACCCCCAACAGACAGCGAGACACTATTACACACAGCTCCAGAATATACAGTACAGTCATAGGTGTTAGTGGAAGGTAGAGCCACAATGGCCGCCACAAGGACACAGTTTCCTGGTTTACTAAACAGAATTTCTGCCCTCTTGTGTCTATTTGGCTATACACACTAACAGAATAAAGCACAAACCAAGCTTGGCCATTTTGTATTAACAAAAAATAAATAAATAAATAAATATATAAAATAAATGACTAATATTTTTTCTTCAAAGAATATTTTAATTTGATCATTTTGTCCTGTACAGTATATGTCTGTGTAAAGTTATTAAAGTGAATCAGCCCATGCTATGTGGAGTCAGTGTTGTTACTGATGATGGAGCAGCTGTGTTTGTCCTTACTGGGCCACCATACAGCCCTCTCCTCCCTTACCAGCTTCTCTGACAGAACCCCTTACCCCTCCCACGTTCCTCCCCCCCACCCGCCAGTGTCAGTCCCTGGCTGCAGTGTGTCCTCCTCCGAGCCAGGGGGCGCTGTGCTGTCAGCCTGTTGCTGTGCGGCAGCGAGCAGGGCAAGCCTGTGGCTCCTGAGGGCGTCTTCGTTCCCATGGCTGCGCAGCAATTCGTTGTTCTTGCGCGCCTCATAGTGGAACTGGGGACCTTTCAGAGCGTACCTGAACACAGACACACACATGTTCAGAGCGTACCTGAACACAGACACACACACACACACACGTCCAGAGCGTACCTGAGAGACACACACACTCGGAGCAGCGGTCGTTAAGAGTCACACAGTGCTCGCCGACTCTCACCAGTGCCTCTGCGGCCCCCGCAGTCTCTCCAGCTCCCGCTGTCTCTGCAGCTGCAGTAGCAGGTCCTCCTCCACACGGAGGCGCTGCAGCCTCAGACGGCAGAGCTCCTCCTGGTAGGGGGAGGGGGGGTCGCCCAGGAGCCTGAGGGAGAGGGGGGAGCGGAGTCAGAGCGATATCAGTCAGCACCGAACCAGCGCCCCCCAGTGGCGAGCACCTGTACCTTTCCGACAGCTCCAGGCAC